TGTGTTGGGTGCAAATTCACTTTGCACGACATCCTGCCGTCTGTTTGTACGAGTATGCGTGTGCGAATGCATTTGCGTGTGAATGGTGTGTTCGTGTGTTTGTTTGCTTTTGCATTTTTCGCTTGAAGCATTTGCAGGTACTCGCGCAATGTGCACTTCGGCACAACATTGTACGCGCTATAAACAGTGCAAGCAGAAAGGACGAGCTCACAAAGGAACCCAAGATGGAAGCTTTGCAGTTCGGTTGAGTTGATTGCGCAGATTCAGTTCTATCCAGCTCGAAATTGTACTGTTTTGTTTGGTTGACTATAGTGTAGCAGGGCAGGCACTATAGGGATACAATTTAGGTGAAGGTTGGATGTTGTTTGTCTGTATCTGCATGCTACAAGGCCAGGGGAAACCAGCAGGACCAGCATTTGGCTGGTTGGGCAAAGACAAAACAGGTTTTGTTTTTAGAACCTGAACCTGGTTGTTGTTTTCCCAGGTTGGAAAAACAGAACCAGAGGTTGTTTACCAACCTACCACCTGCTACTTTGTCCAGCCAGGTTGGTTCTGTTGCTCGGAATTAATTGGGATCATCCCTCGTTGTTCCCAGGTTGATTTCCAAGGTCCTTGCTAGCTAGAACTATTTTTTCCTTCTCTGTTTGTACCTGGATATAGTCAATTGATTCATGCGACCTCTCGGAATTTCGTCTCTACGCGGTTCGACGGCGGAATGCTACCTGAGTCAACGCTAGTACGCTAGCACTCCAACGCTAGGCAAACGCTGTCCGAGCCATAACTTCGTAATGGCAGAATTTTTCGCGAGGCAACTTGGCTTATTTCAAAGCTCTTGGAGCGAGCTTCGATATAGCTAATTCTCAACTTAATCCAATCGACGGTCTGCATGGCACGCTGCGCGACGTTCAAGGTACTCTTGTTATTTTGGCTAAATCGTTCTTGGTTCCTCTCTCTACAAACTCGGACCCGAGGATAGGGGCTGGTCTTGTACCAGGCACCCAAGGACCCTTGGAGGTGACCCCGAGGAGATGTTTTAAGTTTGATTAAGTCTTAATAGCTTGAGTTTATTAGGCCCATTACACTAACAGGTTGTAGACTCCATTATGTGCTGGAACGATGTACTTGCCCGGTTTGTCGTGGGGAGCGAAGTAAAGTTCGACGTTGCGCGTGATTGGGTCGGTGCTGAGCGTGACTTTGCAGTCAAAAAGTTGTCCGTGGATAGTAAGTTGAAGCGAAGGTCTGGCACACTGATCATATCATTGAAGGTGATGTGCGTGTTCCTGTTTTCTTGCATTTAGCATGACCATTCCTTATGCATTTCCTCGCAGCTTATTGTTGTTCGCCATGGTGATATAGGTGATCGTAGGGTTGGCGATGGCGTTGGAGATATAGAGCCTTGAATCCACGATGTGCTGTCCACGATAGCTGTCCAAGGAACCATATGTGGTAGTTGTGGTTGTTGCCGCGTGAGAACTGGGCAAGCTAAGGCGGGACGATAATTGGTGTGTCAAACTTGAGAATTTCACGCTGCTTATTCCAGTCGGCGAGTACTGGTCGCAGGTCGTAGTAGTGCGGGGGACTCTCGATCAGCGGGATCGACATGTTCAAGACTTAATCATCATCATCATTGCAGTCGTGGTCATCGGTAAAAGGGTTGTTGTCCACCTCTGCCTGTATTGGCTCGCCGACGACTTTTTTTTTTGTCATGCGTAGAAGATCACGCGCAGCGTTTACTAGGGTGGCGTATCGTCATATTTTTAGAAGAACTAGGCAAGAATGAAATGAAGTGGAGAGGGGTTGAACTAGCAGGCAGTTGAGTACAAATAGCAAACCCTAGATTGGGCTGTACTCACTATAGAGTACCCCACTGCAGGCTAGACAATAATAGCATTCTGACACACCCCCATAGCCAAAGTGGGGTGTAATCAGCAGAGCAAGCAAAGCAGTACAAGCTCAGGGTGGATCACAATGTCACCACACATTCTGAGCACAAGTTCAAGAAGCAATAGTTTAAAGTTCACAGTTATGAGCAAAGCTAGAGGCAGTCACAGAGGGCAAGTGAGGAGGAGGAGAGACTGTGAGGGGCGATCTGCTGCAGACACAACGGGCAACAGGAGCGGCGTGCACAGTGGCTACCGAGCGCACGAGGGCACCGGACTACGGGAGTATCTGGCTCCGCGGCTACGACGAGCACACACAGGAGCAACTGACCCACAGGCGACTGGCGAAGCAGGCTCGCTGGGCTACCGAAACGCGCGAGGGCATCCGGACTACTGGCGCTGCTGGCGTCACGACGGCTACCTCCACGCAACCTCCCCCGACCGTCCCACGCCCCTCTCATGCACCCCCTGCTGACACCCTAGCTCCACTTCCACGGCACCCCCCTTAAACCCTAAACCCTCGGCTCCCACACATCCACCCCCCTCAGCGGCAGCTGCAGCAGTGGGAGACGGAGGAGGAGGAGGAGCAGGGGACGGCGCACACACACGGCACCCCCAGAGCTGCCACCCCCACACTCCGCACCCCCAAACCCTAAAAACGGGCGGAACGGGGGAAGGAGCGCGGGGGACGGCGAGGGGGACGGCGCTCGGCCCCCAGAACGCGACCACGGGGCAGCGAGGGGCCGCGCGCGGCTCCCCAGGGCGGCGCGACGGGAAATCGGGGCCGCGGGGGGTCGCGCGCGGCTCCTTAGGGCGGCGCGACGGGAAATCGGGGCCGCGGGGGGTCGCGCGCGGCTCCCCAGGGCGGCACGACGGGAAATCGGGGCCGCGGGGGACGGGATCGGAGGGCCGCGGGCGACGGGATCGGGGGGCCGCGGGCGTCCCCCACGGTAGGAAACCGCCGCGCGCCTCGGGGCGCACGGCGGGGAGAAAACCGCCGCACGCCCCGAGCGCGCGGCGGGATGAAAATGTGAAGGTCGCGCGCCACGGGGCGCGCGACACAGAGTAGGGCAGCGGAAGCAGCAGTGGGGCCCACAGGCCAGGAGCGTGAACGCTCTGTTACCATGTCAAAAGAACTAGGCAAGAATGAAATGAAAGTGGAGAGGGGGTTGAACTAGCAGGCAGTTGAGTACAAATAGCAAACCCTAGATTGGGCTGTACTCACTATAGAGTACCCCACTGCAGGCTAGACAATAATAGCATTCTGATACATATTACTAATAATGTTCCTTGCACCTCCCATCTGTGTTGTTTGGGGCTGTTGCTGCACGGGTGGGCGGAGAGTTTGTAGAGGCTAGCGTGCGTCTTGGCCGACCCAATTGTTGTGATAAATGGAGTTTGGGTGGCGTGTGCTGCATCAATATGTTGAACGCCTAGAATTCTTACAAATTTTGGAGTATTGACGCCGCGGTTGTAGGCAATCTTCCCTTCTATCAGTGTAGAAGGCAAAGCGTTCTCGTTGCGATGCAGAACTTTTTTTGTTTAAATCCATGTCTTGTTGTTCGACAAGAAGGGTGGCGCAAATGGAGGCTTATTATATTGCTCCTTGCTCTTGGAGTAGCGACTTGGAGGGCCTTCACCCTGGCCCGAGTTGGGCGAGCACTGTGTTGACGAAAAACTCTTCAGAAATGGTGCTCCCCGTGCTTCGCGTTTTGATCGCGAATGCTCCGACAGCGATTAATATAAAAATTTTCTTTCTCTTCGTGCCCCATATTTATCTCCATGAGTTGCTACAGGAGCCTGCTGCATGTGGCTGGATCTTTCGGTTGGTACATCTCGTGATGTTACGAAATATGCAGGCGCTTCGTGCCTCCGGACGCCACGTGAATTTCTTGGTTGACCAATCGCACTAGTGACAACGACACTTGGGTAGTGATATTAGCTTATAGGTTACACCCTTTCGCAAAAGCCAGAAACACCCAAATCTTCACTTGGTCAAAGCCGTTTTACACGCCCTAACTCCACTTGTGCATGTGTCTGGTCCGCCCTGACCTGGTCCGTTGCCAAAACGTAATACCCTGGTCCGGAATTCTGGTCTGACGGGACCCACTTCGTGGTCCACGCGTGAGACTAGACGTGGAATGGTGCGCAACAGTGAGTGCGCGAACCCCACATGCTGAAATCGAGTTACCATACTTCTGTGCCAGGTATACTTTTCCATGTAGTCGAGCACGAAAAACTTGAATGGCGAGAAGCTTCGCAAAAAGAAGTGGGAACCACTACAGTGTTCGGACCAGCCACGGGGTTGTCGAGCTGGTCCGTCGGGTCCGCGTCGGGGTACGACTCGCGCCTCCGAGACACATCCTATGTGGCAGTTTTCGGATTCCGTATTCTGCTTCCAACCATCCCAAAAAAAAATCGCCGCAAAAACCTACCGCAAGGTTACCTCAAGGTTTTCCCGCAGTGGGTTACCCCGAGGACTCCATCTACGTTACCTCGAGGTTGCCTAGGGGCAACATTCCGTGGCTGGTATCCTTCAGATAACCTACTGGGGTGACCCACAGGTTTCCGAAAAGACGCCCACACGAAACCTCCACCCAACCTCGGCGGCGAATCATGTGCGAGCCGCAGCCTCAACACGAAAAGTCCGACATCCGCAAGGTTCATCCATATCTGAACACTCAGAAACAGCATTTGTTTAAATAATAAAAAATAGCATAAATTCCCTGGTTCGTTTCAGAACGACTCGATACCAGCAACAGTGTTGACTTGCGTGAAACGTGCCATTTATCCTATACATGAGACTTTAACTACAATCTTCTTTATCGTGAGTCTCGATATTAGTCCTGTACAAGTGTGCTGAATGCATGTGAGCATATCTCGACTCCATATAAGCTTGCTCGTTAAACGCGCCTAATGCCGTTTCACTATAGTCAATAATCACTACACATATCCTTTATATAGAATTTGCATGCGAGATTCGTTACCGTCCATATTATAAACGGTATTAAAATTCACGGTCGACAAACGGTCGTGCAAATTCATTATAAATGGTATGCCCTTGGGAAACATGAATAGGTTAGGCGCTCCGGCACAATGATGTCAGTTGAAATCGCCACGCTAGAGATGGCAGATTGTTCTTACTCCCAATGCCTTCAAACTTGGTTCACCACAGCCTGTCAACCTAAAATACAGCTAAAGTGGCACTTAAAGAGTCTCCGGCGCTCTTATTCTGTTAAACCTGCGCATAGGACAGGGTAGACCCATTATTTGAGAAGCGGAGCGACAAACGTAACACTCGGCCCCCCTGCCACACGCGAAAACCAGGGAAGGGGAACAAGGGCGTATGTAGTGAGAAAGATAGCCGTACCCTGCAATGTGGGCTATTAGTGCGTATATCGCTGAGTCTCACTCGGATCTCGATGCAAAGAATGCGTAGCCGGAGTACTGGGACAATGAAAATATCATACCATGGAAAGGCAATGGATGTCGACAGTTTGAGCAGTTTCGCACGTTAAAAAAACAGATAATAAATGCTACCAAAGGAATGCACGCAGGGTTGTTAATTCTCGGACGAAGGTTCGATGCAACCGCGCATCTGTCGACCATGTGTGTCGTGTGGCAAGGATAATTGCGCTACCGCATGCAGAAATCACATCAAAACAACACACTGACGCCTAAGCTTGGGTTTAGGAAACATAAAACTGTCAAATACCGGACGCGATTAATACAAACCGACCAAGAAACACTTACGTCGTGAACCATGGAACGGACGCCAACTGCACGTGCGGTGCGCTATCGCCACTACACCAGCTAAAATGCCTACCATTAATCAATCCCCATGCGATACGGGTGCCGAATAGTTAAGTCCCTGCCACAAGAAACAGACACGCGTAGTCAATGGAACGCAAGTGTATATGAAATTCATCGTTCGGCTAATGGTACGATGGCAAAAGTTGATCCCAATGGCTCGACCGCAACTACCTTGCATACGATGCTGGCGTCTTCAAGAGGCGGAATAGCATGCGCGCAATAAACACACCCTTAGTCTACAATGCGAACAGGAGATGGCGATGGAAGCAATGAACACGGAGGGGCGTAGTCACGGGACAACAGGGCTCAAAGTTTGAAGATAGTAAACTATAATGACTTGAGCAGGATCATCGCGACTGTATACATAGCCATCAAGAGTGGTGGTGGGTATGGAAAGTGAGCGTGGATTGAGGTGGTTCGATGCCCGTTCGGATTGGTTGACTGCTGATACGCTGCCACATACGCTTTCCCATCACAAATGATGGAATCGTGTACAACACTAGGCAGTGAAAGGAAACACGTAAAATGCAATTGCATATGGTTTAGTTATAATGATCCAGCACAACATATCTACATACACATTGTCAAACAACATAAAGGGAAGTTGGCGATTTTGTAAATCGTGAACAACTTGGATGGCGCCCCAAAATATCTAGAACCATACCCAACCGCAAAACAGATACTTTACCATTGCTTGAGTTTCTACACAAAAAAAGGTTTATATCATGCACTTGTACTAAGAATACCCACTACAGCTCCCTCACACGCAGAGAACATGCTACCCAATCTTCAAGAAAGAAGCTCTCAAGCAACTACTCCAGCCAAATGGTTCCCCGATCGGTCAATGCCCTCGAGGTCTTCAATCCCATCGGTAGAGATCAGAATCTTCCCACTGCGAAAAAGTCTACGCCTTCTCAGACGCGTTGTACCAAGGTCCGCTACCGTTGACACAGGGTGCCATGATGGCTGCCCTGCACCAGGCCGTGACCTTCCTGAGGTACTCCGCAGTCAACCTCCCATTCATGGCAGCACTGTGTTCGAGGTCCGCGCCGTTGTTCAGGATGCGGTGCTCGACCTACACGGAGAAAAAAAAATCGTGCCCATCTAAAAAAATGAGAAGTTGAAGTTGTACAAGCAACACACAATCAACACCACCTTCATATATCTTTCCCACAAATGCGGATGAGCTGCCAACACAAACATAAAGAACAAGCCTCAACCTGTTCATGTTACGGACCACGTACTTACCCCCATGAGAAAATACGTGATGTGGTAGAGTTTGACAATGGCAGGCTCAGCCTTGAAGAGGGAGATGAAGATGCCCGACTCGAAGGCAGGGTGTGCGAAGAGCAGTCCACAAGCCTCTGGTGCACGGATTCACGTATATAGGCCATGGCTCGTAGCATCTGGAGGGCAAGATCGCTCCTGCTAGACTCCAGGCCTTGGTCTTCTTTGCAAACTGGCACCAAGATCACATACGTGCAAAATTCGATACTAAGGAGCCTCTTGAGAAAATGGACAGCGACACCGTTGAGTAGGTTCAAGTGTCTCCCATCCAGCCCGAACTGTTATGTCTGCCTAGCCGTGAGAGGCCAAGCCAGCCTGCAACCTTGTAATGTCGGAGGTGCGTTTGATGATTTTTCTGCAGGCCGGTTCGTCTCTTGCGCACCCACTTCCTGCGGGATGGCGAAGGCTGGAACCTTATCAAGATCCATGCCTTGAACCACCTACCGAAGACTGTCCGGCGTAGTGGGCACCCCCGCAAGTACTTAACTGCCGCGTATGAGAACGCACACATCCGGGCCTGCAAGCAGCCATTCAGGAGCTCCAACAAGCGCGACTATGACACCACCATCTTGCAAGGAAACGCAATGCAAGCGGCATTGCTGTCGCTACCTCCGGCAGTTCCTGAACGGCCACGAGAGTACATGATGGCAGCCAAACAGGTATGCCCGCTCATTCTAAAGCGCAAATGCCTTTCCTTTCCTTGGTAGACTGCCCCATGCTGGATTTGCATCTATGTATGTATGTTACAATGTTTCTGCAACTACCACCCCATCCACCTATATTACGTGGTTCCAAATGCCGTTTTGTTCGCCGGATTACCTTGGACAGGCTCGGACCTCGGGCAGCCCAGCGTTGACAAACACTTCAGCCACGATGCGTGATGCTACCTATGCTACTACGACTGCGGGAACCCTGCTCCAACAGTACAGCGATGCCACGGAGCGTTATGCGGCGGGCTGGTTAACAAGAGTGACGAGACTCAGGTGCAGATCGCGAGTGGTGCTGACCAGGAAGGTATAGAACAGAGAGGGTTGTGGGCAGATGGGGTGCAGACAGAGGGAAGAGGAGAATGAGAATCGCTAGAACAGTGAGAGGGGCGGTCAGTGAGAGGTGCGGATAGTGTGAAGTGCGGACAGCGAGAGGTGTGGATAGTGAGAGGAATGGATAGTGAGAGGTGCGGAAAGTGCGAGATATGGACCATGAGGGTTGTGGACAGTGAGAGCTGAGGATGGTGAGAGGTGTGGACAGTGAGGGGTGTGGACAGTGGACTTTGGGAGGTGCTGATAGTGGGAGGTACGGATAGTTGGATGTGTGGATAGTGACAGGGGGGGATAGTGAGAGGTGTGGTCCTCTAGGGATGTGGATAGTGAGGATTGTGGATAAGAGGGGAGAGTGAGAGGTGCGGACGGTGAGAGGTGTAGTATATGGAGGTGCGGACAGTGAGGGGTGCGGACAGACGGAGGTGTGGACAAAGAGAGGTGCGGACAGTGAGGGGTGCGGACATTGAGAGGTGCAGACAGTCAGGTGTGCGGATAGTGATGGTTTCTGAGTCAGATATGCTTGTAGAGGGAGGGGTTGCCGAAAAGAGGAGCTAAAAGGAAGAGGTGGCAAGGACGGAGATAGGTGCAGAGAGTCAGAGGGGGATTAGGATGTGTTGGGACAGTGAGTGATGCATGGGTTTAGGTGCGAACAGAGAGGGGTGCGAGAAGATAATGGTGTGGGCTGATGGAGGGTGGCGGTCACGGGAACCCAGCATCACCCGCGTGTCAACCCACCTTCCTCAACCCTCCCTCCCGGGCTCAATATGATAACTGAATGAACTATTTGGGGTCACCCTCTCTTCCCCCCCTATGATGCCTCCCTACCCCTAAACCCATGCCACTACCCTGCTGCCAACGTTTGCGCAACCCTCACACCCCACACCTCACTTCTTGCGTGCTTGTGTATGGACATGCAGGTTCATCGGGCTGTCGCGTTGCCGGCAAAGAATATCCGCACTGGCGAGCCATCGGCCAAGTATGCGCGCGCAGCTCTGACACATCACGGCTCCCCTGCCTTTTCATTGATGGAGTATGGAGCCAGGAAGGGTGAGGCCCTCTACGGGCAGTTGTGCCTTCTAATGCGAGCCCGCAGGAGCAAGGATCGACATGGGGCGCCTCTGCATGCCGTGGCGTACATCAAGCCTTGGGAGGATGTTGGTGTTGACCAGGTCACTGAGTGTGTGAAACTCGAGGAAATTAACACTGCGGATGCCTACGTGGTCATTCCTATTGCTAACCTTCGTCACGTTGTGCATGTCGCCAGTCGTTCGATCGTGAGGGGGCGTGGCTGTTGAACAAGTGGGCGGATGGCCTGCGTAAGGGCGGCGTTTTTAAATTTGTTGCCACCTAAGCATCCTGGTAGTGTAAAAATGCATGGTTTACACTTGCAAAAATATTTGTAAGGTGTTTGTAGCTGGCTATGATAGGAAAGATAAAATAGAGTCCATCCTTGACGGACATGCTAGCGCACCTGTCTGACGGGTGTTGCGACTGTAGCTTATTAGGATCCGCCACAGGTGTCTGTCTGTGGCGACTAAACTCTCATTGTGTCGTGCATACTGCATGTTCATAACTATCCTTCCCTACGCAAAATGGTGGCAACATTATGTGAACTAGCCTAGTGACTTCGGTTACGGTGGTATTGACAAAGGTGGAATATAATGTCTGGATTAACCTAGCAAGGGTTTATAACGAACAACATTTCAATATGTACATAACAATTTGTAAGCCTAAAACGATGTAGTAAATCCTTTTAGTAGTAACTACATTGAAATGCAACATAAAGGAATTCTCGTGTTGAAAATTGCCTCGACAACCGCTCAGCTCGGTTGCCGAAGTTGTCGCCGAAGCTCCGTCCGAAGCTGGGGTTATCCCGTGGGTTACCTCTATTGTAGCGCCAACCTGATTGGTCAGCGAAATCTACCCGATTCAACACGCGAGCATAACCTCATCGCCACTATCACCAGCCATCAAAGGTGACCTCGAGGTGTCTTGGGGGAAAACTTCGGGGTTACCCCCCCAGCGTTGGCCTGGGGTATCCTTCGTTTTCCATCCGATTTCGGCCTTCTGATTTTCGGGATGACGTCGCGCACGACATGACGGAGTTCACTAGTGGTTCCTCACTGGGCTTTGATAATTTAGCAACTGTTGCCGACGCTGCTAGCTTTACCTCGAACCTCGTTCCTTTTAATACTAACTCTGGGAGACGAGGTTGGACTGGCTTCTCTTCACAGCCGTGCCGCGTTCCTCGCCGCGTCTCTCGCCGCGCTGAGAGAAAATGGCCCACATCGTGCCAGCCGTCGTCATGCTGTTGGTCGCCGCGCATCTCATCTGCTCCACCGTTGCATTTCGTTTCAAACCGGCCGAGCCCCTCTCAGGTGTGCGATCGCTCCTCTCTTTCGCATGCGCCGCCCGTGCTCGACCTCGTCGCGCCCACCCTGCCTCGTGCGAGTCTCGCCTTTCTCTCTGCCTCTCGCTGCGCGCCCCTCTAACAGGGAGCGTAATGTATCCCGTTCCTCCCTTGCGTGCCTCGCCTTCCTCCACTCTGCCTCTCCTCCCGCCCTGTCATTCCCACCCTCCTCGTCTCCCCCACTCCTCTGCTCTCCTCGCGCTCCCCCTCCTATCTCTCCCGCCTCTCCCCCAAGCAGGCCCGGTGCGCATCAACTGTGGCAGCAGCGAGGCGCTCACTATCAACGGCCGCCAGTGGCGCGCTGACGCCTTTTACGACGCGGGGCAGCCCTTCCGCATCCCCCCCTCGCCTCCCCTCTCCTCTCCCCGCCTCGCGTCGCCCGTGGAGGCCACCCTGCGCGCCTTCCCCGAGGTGAACAGCAACGGCGGGTGCTACACGGTGCCTCTGCCCGCGGACGCGCGCTACCTGGTGCGCGTGGGCGTGGCCTACCGCAACTACGATGGCGCGCGCTGCCCGCCTGCCTTCCACATGGCCGTGAATGGGCTCATCCTGAGGACGGTGGTGATGGGCGTCACGGAGGAGCAGTTCCCGCTGTCCGCCTTCTACTCCGAGTTCGTTGCCTTCGCCCGCCAGGGGCGCATCGCCGTGTGCTTCCTGCCGCTGCTGGGCGTGGTGGCGGCGCCCCCCCAGGTGAACTCGCTGGAGCTGCTGCCCGCCCACCCCCTGGCGTACGACGGCGCGGTCACGGGCAGGGACGTGGTGGTGGTGCCGCTGCTGCGCCACAACCTGGGCGCTGCCCGCCTGGCGGGGGGTGGGGAAGGGCGAAGGGTCCCTGCGCTGCAGCAGGATAGTGGGGAGACGAGTGGGATGGGAAGGGTGAGCGGGGGGGGCACAGTGGGAGGGACCGTGGGGAGGGTGGCGGAATGGGAGGGTGAAGAGGCGGAAGCAGCGGATGAGAGAGGGGTGGAAGGAAGTGGAGGGAAGGTGGGGGGGGCAGCTGAAGTGACAGAGGGGGGGAGGGGGTTGCTGGAGGGGAAGGGGGAGGGGCGCGATGGGGGAATGGTGGAGGTGGGGTGGGCGGAGGAGGACAGAGCATTCAGGGTGTGGGGGCGCGACTTAGCTCCCGCATGGGGCGCCGTGCCTGGCTCCATGGCTGTGCAGTCAGGCGCTGGTAGTGATGCCAGTGGTGGCGGCAGCAGCAGTGCTGGGGCGAATTCAACCACGGCAGATAACTGGGTTACACGTGGGCATCCGTTCAAAGTGGTCACCACCTCCCGAAGCATTGCTGGTGCTGACGTGGCACCAGACTACATTCCTTCCGTAGTGTTCCAGTCGGCGTGGGAGGGGGCAGTGGAGGAGCGGGCGGGCGGGTTGGGAGAGCGCGTGAGAAGCGAGGAGGGTGGGGGGGCAATGGACGGCGATGAGACTCAGCAGGAGGAGCAGCCAGAGTGGGGGGGCAACAGAAAAGGAGGGCTGGTGTGCTGGGCCAACAGCAGCAGAAGTGGCGGCGGCAGCAGTGGGGAGAGGGAGACGTGCATGGGGTCGGTGGGGTTTGCCGTGCGTCTAGATCCGGTGAATCTGCTGGACGTGCTGTGCGTGCGCCTCTTCTTCGCCGAGACCGACCCCCTCGTTGCTGCTGGCGACCGGCGCTTCGACATCCGGCTGGGCGCCATGAGCGTGCTGGGCGTGGGGCAGGGGCGAGGGGGTGCGGAAAGGGAGGCGGAAGACGAAGAGGCAGGGGATGAGCGGAAATGGAACGGGTCGGGGGGGGAAGGGAAGGGGGAGTGGGAGAGGGGAGACTCGAGTGAGGAGGGAGTGAGCAGGGTGGAAGAGAGAGAAGGGGGGGAGGAGGAGAGGGGGGGGAGTGAGGGGGGCACAAGAGATGATGAGGGCGAGGCAGCCAGCAGAGGAGGCGCCACGGAAGGGCTCAGAACGACGAGGGTGGCGGCGGGACGGGAGTTCTGGCAGGGGAGAGGCGGTGCGGTGAGATGGCAGGGGCGCGGGGAAAAGTTTCAACGGCTGAGCTCTCACATGGGCAGGGAGAATGGTGATGGGGGGGAGGGTGGTGGTGAGGAGGCGAATGCAGGGAGGGCGGATGAGGTAGATGATGGAGAAGGGGCGGAGAAAAGGAAGGGAGACCGTGATGTGGATACAAATGAGGAGATTGAGTCGGATGCAGGTAGTGGAAGGAGAAGGCTTCTGGAGGAGTGGGAAGGTGTTAGAGTAAGCAGGGTTAGTATGAGGGGGAAAGATGGTGGTGCGAGCGAGGATACAAAGCGGCGCTCCTCACGGGCACGGAGGAGGAAAGGCAAGAGCACAGGGGGGAGGAAGTGGGGGAGGAGGAGGGAGGGCGTGGAGCACATAGCCCACACGGGGCTGGACGGGCGGCAGGCAGTGGTGCATGGCAACGTGCTGCTGGACGCGCTCACGAGCATCAGTGAGAGCGGTGAGTTTGACACGGGTGGCGGCGTGGGCACGCCCGTCAACTGGTACCGCAACTTCCTCGACTTCCGCCTGCATGACTTCCTCTTCGGCCCGCAGCCCCGCCCCTGGCAGCACGAGCGCCTGCACCTGCTGCGCTCCAAGCAACCACAGGCGCTGGGGTGCTGGGAGGGGCAGCATGAGAAGCAGGCAGAGGAGCAGATGGAGGAGGAGGAGGAGGATGTGTTTGATGGGAGCAACCCGCTGTTTGCCCGGGACTGGAGTGCGACGGGGTTTGACATTCTGGTGGCGGCCAACGGGTCACATGACCGTGCGGTGGTGGTGCAGCTGTGCTTCAACTTCACACGCTATGCGCAGCAGTACGGCCCCGACCTGGCCCTGCTGCTCTCCCCCATGCGCGGGTCCAAGCGGCCGCCACTGCTGGCGGGTGTGGAGGTGGTGGAGATTGTGAGGACGCCCCCTGCCGGCCACGTGCCCCGCGGTGAGTGCTGCCTTGCTCTCACCGCACATGTACATTCACATTCGCATTCATGCTCACATGCACATGGACATGCACATTGCCCGTGCACATTCTCTTGCACATTCCCATGCACAATCACACGCACACCTGCATGTGCTGTCAGCGACAGCGTCACCATTGCATGGCGGAGTGTGGCGAGTTCCGCAGGCGCCCCTAGCCAATGTGATGGCGGGCGTGGAGGTGTGATTGCACATAGCGCTGTGAGGAGGACGCCCTCAGGGGGGTATGTGCTTCAAGGGGTGTGTGCTTACAGGGTTATGTGCTTGAACGGGCATGCGCTTTAAGGGATATGTGCTTGGAGGGGTACCTGCTTTAAGGGGTATGTGCTTAAGGGATATGTGCTTTATGGGGTATGTGCTTAAGGGATATGTGCTTTATGGGGTATGTGCTTAAGGGATACGTGCTTGAAGGAGCATGAGCTTGAAGGGGTATGTGCTTGAAAGTGTCTCAAGTGTTTGGGCAAAATGCGATTCTTTCCCCCATAATCTCTCCTCTTTTGCCACCCTTGCCTTACTCCGCCTGCCATCATGCTCGGTGCAGCCATGCACCAGTGAAATCGTGGCTGCTCTGGCAGTCTCCACGTTATCATGCGTGGCACTTCACTCACACCCTCCACCAACACCTCTCTTACTTCCAACCGCTCTTCATCGCTTCCCACTACCCTCGCTTTCAGCGTTGTCACCATCGCCTTCCCTTGTTCATGTGTCACCCTCTTCCGCCAGGCTACCTGCCCAACGACATTGCAGCCGTGATCGTGCTCCTCTCCCTTGCCTACATCGCCCTCAAGCTTGCTCCACACTGCCGTGCCTCCGCCTCTCACCTCTCCTCGACACGCATCCCTTTCACACGCCTCCTCGCAGGACAAGCTAAAGGTGCGACTGTGTGCTTCCAGTGAGTGCATGCATGCTGCCGTGCCATGGGCTGGGGTGGGAACGGGCATCAGTCTCGTCCAGCTCCGTAGCTCCCTGGCTAGTCTCTTTCGGTGCGTGTTTCGACAATCACTCACCTTGCGTGTCGTGATGAACTGCATTGAACCAGCTTACGATGTGTCAGATACGAGGATGTAGAAACACATTCTTAGCGACGGCTCACAACATGGAACGACCTCCCACAACTTAACCCTAATGTTTTCATTCATTATTGCTCTCATTGTCCCTGTTCCCGCTGCTATTGTTACAGACCGGCACAGCCAATGACTGCAAGTCTACAAGTGTTTTGCATAGCAGTAACTCTGACTTGTTCCAACATGGATGTTGTTGATCCGTAACCTACTGTACTCTTTCAAGTAATGATTCCTGTTTGTTTTGTCAGAATGTTATTATCTAGCCTGTAGTGGGGTGCTCTATAGCGGGTACAACCCAGTTAGGGTTTGCTATATGTATCCCAACTGCAGCTAGTGAAACCCCTCCTTTCTTCATTCTTGTTTCTGCTACTATTCTTAACATGCTATCAGAGCAGGTCGACCCCCTTGGGTCGATCCTGTGGGTGGGCCCGCCACCTAACTGCTTCCGCTGCTGTTCTGCTTCTCGCGCGCCTCGGGCACGCGCCTTCTTCTTCCTGCCGTGCGCTCCGAGGCGCGCGGCGAGTTTCTGCCCGCCGTGCGCCCCGAGGCGCGCGGCGGTTTTCTGCCCGCCGTGGGGGACCCGCGCGCGACACCCCGCCCTTCCCGTCGCGGCGCCCTGGGGGATCCGCGCGCGCCCCCCCCGCCATCCCGTCGCCCGTCGTGGCGCCCTCTCCCGTCGCCCGTCGTGGCGTCGCGGGGGCCGCGCGTCCCCCCCATCCCGTCGCCCGTCGAGGCGCCCCGGGGGCTGCGCGTCCCCCCCCGTTCGCGTCGTCACGTCGCGACGCCCTGGGGAGCCGCGCGCGGCCCCCGATTTCCCGTCGCGCCGCCCTGGGGAGCCGCGCGCGACCCCCCGCTGCCCCGTCGCGGTGCCCTGGGGAGCCGCGCGCGGCCCCTCGCTGCCCCGTGGTGGCGCCCTGGGGGCCGCGCGCCGTCCCCCGCGCTCCTACCCCGTTCCGCCCGTTTTAGGGTTTGGGGGTGAGGAGTGTGGGGGTGGCGGCTATGGGGGTGCCTATTGTGTGCGCCGTCCCCTACTCCTGCTCCTCCGTCTCCCGCTGCTGTAGCTGCCGCTCAGGGGGGTGGGTGTGTGGGGAGCCGAAGGAGTGGTGCTAGGGGGGTGACGTGGGAGTGGAGTTAGGGGTTCAGCAGGGGGTGTGTGTCAAGGGTGTGGGTCAGTTGGAGGAGGTTGTGTGGAGGTAGCTGTCGTGTCGCCTGCAGCGCCTGTAGTCCGTCGCCCTTGCTTCGGTAGCCAGTGAGCCTGTTGCACCAGTCGCCAGTGGGTCCGTTGCTCCTGCCGCTCGTCTTAGCCGCGGAGCCAGTCACTCCAGTAGTCCGTCGCCCTTGCTTCGGTAGCCACTGAGTCAGCCGCTCCTGTGCCCGTGCCTCTGCAGCTTCAGTCGTTGCCTCCCATCTTCTCTCTTTCCATAGTTCCTCCTCCTCCTCACTTGCCCGCTGTGATTACCTCTAGCTTTGCTTATTATTGTGAACTCCTGCTATGCCTGCTCATTGTGCTGATTACACCCCACTTTGGCTATGGGGGTGTGTCAGAATGTTATTATCTAGCCTGTAGTGGGGTGCTCTATAGCGGGTACAACCCAGTTAGGGTTTGCTATATGTATCCCAACTGCAGCTAGTGAAACCCCTCCTTTCTTCATTCTTGTTTCTGCTACTATTCTTAACATGTTTTGACTAAGTGTGTGAAGTAATGATTCCTGTTTGTTTTGCCTAAGAGTATGTTCCTACGGCCTAATACCGTATTCTCTCAGTAAGTGGCTACAGCGGAATGAGTTGCATTAGACAGATTGGGGTACCGTCATCGCCCGGATATAAGACATATATGTCTTATCTCGTACACGGGCAAAAATGCTTGAGTTATCTTGTAAACGGGATGGTTTAGGGTGTCTTATAAGTCTTATAAATGAGAACTTTTTAAACTACTTAGAAATATTTTCCGTACTTCTTGTAAAAAAGTTCCTCATAATGAGTGTGGATGTTGCGAAGGTGCCACTTCGGCAACCACTGCCCGGGACGCCACGTCATGGAGAACACCTGCAGAGGCAAATTTGGTAGGTCCTGGGTCAGCGCGTGGAGAAATTCGCGCTTCGCAAGGGTAAAAATGTACGCGTTATTTCAACTTTCGCTATAATGTATTGAAGTTTCGATTATAAGACATATATGTCTTATCTCGTACACACAAATAGGTGTCTTATAATGAGGCTAGCCTGTTTATAAGAGACACCCGTATAGTAGACAACCCCTGTCTACTATTCAACACTGTCTTATATCCGGGCGTTTACGGTACATATTCCTACCTCTAACTGTTTGACACCCACTAATGGCTAGACCCACTAATGGCTAGAATTTTTGACACACCCCCATAGCCTAAGTGGGGAGTGCAAAGTAACAACAAACAACCTAAGGTCACAAGACCAGTCACAAACAAAAGACAAAACAAAGCTCAGGGTGGATCACAACGTCACCACACAGTCTGAGCACAAACAAGGGGCCACAAGGCCAGTTCAAGAGTGTATATGCAAATATATACAGTTCAAGCAAAGACAAGAGACAAGCACTCACTACTGCAGTCTACTCGACCCAGTCTCAACGAGGCCCAACTGCAGACAGAACCGGCGGTGGTCACAAGGCTGAAGAGCCTTGGTGAAGATGTCTGCAGTGTTGGCCTCGGAGGCCACGAAGTCCAGACGAGCCTGCCCGCGTCTCTGCAACTCTCGAAGGAGGAAGTACCTGACGTCGATGTGCTTCACTCTGCTCTCCAGTCGAGGCTCACGACACAGGAGAATCATCGCCCTGTTGTCAGCAAACAAGGTCGGTGCAGAGCTCGGCCGCTCACCAAGGTCAGTGAGCAAAAAGGTCAACCAGCGTACCGGTAGCTCCTGAGCAGCAAGGGCTCCAGCGTAGATCTCGGCCTCTGCGGTAGAAGTCGCAACAGAGGAGGACCGAGTAGACCTCCACGAAACAGCTCCAGAACCCAGGCTGAAACAGTAACCCTGCGTAGACCTCTGAGTCTCAACGTCGTCGGCGTACGAGGAGTCGAAATGACCGGTGAGTACAACTGGCTGTGTCCCTCCAAGTACAAGCCCCATGTCTGATGTCGCGCCGAGGTACTTCGCCACCCTCTTAGCCGCCGCCCAGTGAACAGGACGGTGTCTCCCAGTCGCAACAAAGCGAGAAAGGATGCTAAGAGGGAAGGCGAGGTCCGGGCGAGTGCACGTCATCAGGTACATGAGGCAGCCCACTAGCTCTGCGTAGGGACCACTGGGATCGAACGACTCGTCAGGAAAAGGCCCAGTGAGTCTGTGGATTACAGCAAGAGGAGTGGGTGTAGGAGAAGAGTCCTGAAGCCCGAACCGTTGAAGGACCTGCTGCACCATGTGTGACTGAGTCAGAGTGATGGTGCGAGCGGCTCTGTCCCTGGAGATCTGCAGGCCAAGGTAGCGGCGCAGTTCCCCAAGGTCAGTGCAGGTGTGTCTCTTCTGCAGTTCGGACTTCACCTCCGCCAGTGCAGCTGTGTCGGCTGTGGCAAAAACCAAGTCGTCAACGTAGACCAGAACGAAGAAAGGTGTGCGCCTACGACGGGTCGGCAGGAGACGGCTCAAACCCGAGGTCGGAGAGAGTAGAGCGGAGAGTGTCACGCCACTCACGGGGTGCCTGGCGGAGACCGTAGACCGGTCGTCTGAGGCTCCACTGGGTCCCAGGCGGGAAAGTGCCAGTGAAGCCCGGAGGACGACGCAGCCAGATCTCCTCGTGTAGGTGGCCCTGGAGGAAGGCAGTGGAGAAGTCAAGAGAGTGTAGCTCGTAGTCTCTCTGCGCTGCTACGTGCAGTAACACCCGAAGAGTGGTCATCTTCGAGGTGGGCGCAAAGGTCTGAAAGAAGTCAACTCCCTCACGCTGACTGAACCCTCTAGCCACGTAGCGTGCCTTGAAGACTGGGGGAGATCCCGGCGGCCGCTTCACCTTGAAGATCCACATGCCGTCAACGATGTTCGCCCCTGGGGGGGGAACCTCGTCAACGTAAGTGCCTGTGGACCTGTAGGAGGCCATCTCTGCGTCCATGGCAGCTCTCCACTGAGAGGCCCAAGGCCCTGACACTGCCTCAGCGTAAGTGCGAGGAGTAGGTATGTCAGGAGCATCGGGGTCTCCCTCAGGAGCGAGGAGCATGGCACAGAGATGAGGCGAAGCAGCTGCCAGGAACTCTAGCTCAAACTGTCTGTCCTCTAGGACGTCACAGCCAAGGGCAGACTCACCCTCGGCGGACAGAGGACGGACAGGAGGAGCGGCCACAACACGAGTGGCGTAGTCAAGGCGACGCGTAGCAGTAAAGTCAGTGACAGCGGCAGTGAGGACCGCGACGGAGGAAGGAGAGGCACGAGGGTCTGTAACAAGAGAGGCGAGAACACGAGAGAGAGTGGGGCGGTACGTGCGGTAGTAGTCAGTGACCGGAGTGGACAGGGAGGCAGTGAGGGACGACTCAGGAGGACGAGGAAGAACAGACTGAGGAGGACGAGGAGGACTAGAACGAAACAACACGGTACGGAGGTCAGTGACAGGTGACGAGGGACGAGCACGAGGAGGACGAGAGGTCCAAGTGTGGGTGAGAGGAGGGGGAGACGGAGGAGACCAAGAACGAGGGAACACAGCCGGAGCTGAGTCCGGAGGAGGAAACGTAGGACCGAACACAGGACGAGAGGAGGGGAGACCAAGGGCCCGAAGTCTAGAAACAGGGGCCGGAGGCTGCTGCGGCGGCTGCTGCTGCTGCTGCTGCTTCGGCGGCGGCTGCTGTTGCTGCTGCGGCTGCTGCTGCAGCTGCTGCTGCTGCTGCTGCTGCGGCGGCGGCTGCTGCTGCTGCTGCTGCTGCAGCTCTTGCTGCAACTCCAACCTCTCACGCTCCACCCGCTGCTGAACCTCCAACCTCTCACTCTCCACACGCTGCTGCTCCTCGCGCGCAAGACGAAGACGGGCCTGGTGTCGAGTCGGGTAGGGGTGAGGAGGAGGAGTGGTGTCAGGAGACGACGAAGAAGAACCGGCTCCACCCTCGACAGGACCCGGCTGAGCACCCCCAGAGCGAGTACCCCCTGCGGCAGCACGACTAGTACCTGTAGGAGGTGTACCCACACC